GATGTTTTACCCGGCTTTTTCTTCGAGAACATGATGCAAAAAGATGAAATATGTAACTCATAATGAGTTTGCACAATCAGCGGTGACGATAAGATCAAAATATTAGATCGAACTAAAGAATTTCACATAGTTATAACATAAATTTCAGGAAATGTTTTGAAGACCTTCTGGCAAAACAACTATGCAAGAGCGAAAACAAGTAATTAGAGCTATTTAGCGCCAAATTCGCATTTAGCGTGCACGCTCAAGCCTGTTTCTCTCGCATTTGGCGGAAAATATGTAATTAAGACTTTTGTTCAGTGATTATGTAAGAAATTCCACGTTTTTCCATTATTTTTGAGCAAAGCAAGCATCGTAGCATAATTTTAGGCATGTCAGCCACCTTGAATTTCTATTGGTTAGCGTACGAAAGATTATGTGACTAATTCTTTATAAAAACATACAGAACAAAAAGAAAAAATCAAAGTTTGAACAATTTTCTTCTTCTTTTTTCCACCAGAGTGTAATAGATAACAGAAAAAGATGAAAAGATGAAGAAAGAAAAACTGTACACGTAGTCCACATGTACATGTGGTCGAATTTGACCTTCAGTTTCTCTTCTTCTTGTCTTCGTTTTTGTGTTATATGTCTGTCTAGTAGTTGTTTATTCTGCTTCTCCTCATCTACAATCGTAACGTCAAAGTGAAGTTAGAATGCAATCGATAATTTCAAATAAAAAAGTATTTGAAAAGCTTTTCATTGATTTGTGAAATACAATCATAATGATTCATGGAATGCTATATGTGTAGTCGAGATGATCCAACTATTACAGAAAAAACAATTTGTGAGTAAAAAAATGTATATTCAAATATCAAGCGTCATGTATACTACTCATTTTTATCGAATAAATGCGATAGAGAAAAATTCCAACTAACGAGGGAACCTCTTGAGGTTATAAATCGCTGGTAGCCCATGGTCATAGTAGTACGATGGGAAAAAATTCGATCCTGATGAATTTTCCTGCCTTGAGATATTGACACTCGAATATTTCACCTGAAGGTAAGGGTGAGGGTCATATGTTCGAGTCTCAATATCTCAAGGCAGGAAAATTCATTAGGATAGAATTCGTACTACTATGACCATGGGCTACCAGTGTGGCAAGTTTCAAGTCGAAATTCGAAAGTCGGATTTTGCTCGAAATCCAAGCTCTATAGGCAAAAACTGACTAAAAATTCAATATCTCAGCAACAAAGCACCATAGGGATGACCCAACTTAGGGTATTTCACTACTCACTGAGGTCTACAAGATACAAGTAGTCCGAGTTCAAAAGCGATTTATAACCTCAAGAGGTTCTCTCGTAAGATAGGTGAAAATGATGATATCGGCCCAGTATTTCGACTGTTGACCCATGTGGGCATATTTTTGAAAGACATCTTTATAGCTGATTTTGAAGCCCAAAAAATCCTCCAACTGTTTATATATAAAACAGTTCGGTTCTGAGTAGATGAGTTCAAGAACTATTCCTCTAAATTGTTAAGATATGTGAAAATGATGACATCTGTCTAGTACGATGACATCTGTATAGTTTTGCTCAAGGACTTTGAAATGGGACAAGAAAGTTGCGGGGAAAGATAAATGGCTTTTGTTGAACTGGTGGCAAAAGATGAAAAGGACTTTTGTTTTCATAGACACCAGAAGAAATTTTTGACAATGGAAAGTGAAAAGGGAAGCATTTCCGATCATTTTCACTCAAAATCCTATTGGGCCATTTTCTAGTAGAAACCGTCTCCCGTCCATTCCAAGATATCTCCAAGAGACAATAGTATGTATCTTGCTAAGATTAAATTTCATATGCATCATAATAAGTAAACATTTCAAGTCTATCTAATGCTTTCTCTTCATATTATAAAAGATAAAAAAAGAGAGGATTGTACCCTTAAGTGTGAGGATTTTTGTATAAAAGATTATAGTGATAGGGCGGAAAATCTAATGATATAATGAAAAACGTCGCGCCTTGAACGAATTGATCTGTGCTCCTTGTTTAATTGAACAAAAAACATGGAACATCGTCGATCGAGTTTATTAATCAAAGATTTTGAACCATCCGCTGTTCGTTTAAAACGAAAATTACATTCAATTTTAAATCGTATTCATAAACGTGAATCGTTTATTGATACCACTACTCTTCAATATACTACTCTCGTTTGGGAATTTTTATTTTATCTCATTTTATTAATCATCATTTTAGTTATTAGTTCATTGACACTTTCAACACAAGATATCTTTTATACAGGAAAATGTGCACGACGTTTACTTGTAAATAAAATAGATCTAGAAAACGTAAAAACAGTTGATCAATTTTGGATATATCTTGAACAATTTAATAAATTAGTTTTTGAGAAAGTTGTTAATGTGAGAAATACAACATATCTGACAAATTTACCAATAAATACGACATTGTATCAAATATTATTTTCCAATGAAAATTATATAATTGGAAAACCACGATTGAGACAATTGCGTGTCGATGAAACACATTGTCGTGTAGCAAAAGATTTATCTGTACGACCGTTGTATTGTTATGCACCTTATAAAAAATCGAGAGAATATCGCAAATCGTTTACAACTGTCACTAGTTATGTGTATATTTATACCAAGCCAAAATCAACAGATGCCTTTAAATTACCTGGTGTCTATGGCCCATATGATACGGGAGGTTTTATTGTTTATTTTGAATCGACATCTCAAACAAATATCGATTTAATTGAAGATTTAAAAAGAACAGCATGGTACATAAGGTAGTTCATAGCCTAACTGGATCTAAAACTATAATTAATTTTTAAGGCTTGATCCTGGCACAAGAGCAATTGTCATCGAGCTCATTTATTTTAATCCAAATACTGATTTATTAACTTCTGTTAATATTTTGTTTGAATTTACTACCACTGGTAAGATGGACTAGTTTTGACCAACACAATCTTTGATACCTAATTTGACTCGATATAACGATTTCATATGTGGCTTCTCCGCCTGATATCCAAAGTGTTGAAATATCATCTGCGAAAGACAGTCGTAACTAATTCAATCTACCTCTTCCACATAGACAAAATATTTTCGTAAATTTCGATAAGAATCTTAAAAGATTCTTGTTCCGTTCGTATATGGTCTTCCATGGAAATAACAAAAATTTGGTAAGATCTTATAAGGTATTCATAAGAATTTATCACAAAATCTTTTGTTTCTCATTTGCCTGTTAGAGAGTTTTTACCCCAAAAATAGTCCCTTTATTTCTCCTTATGCGCATTTATGAGCAAACATGACTGTTGAATGGTATTTTCGGGAGTTATAAGATCATTCGACTAAAAACAAGTAAAAATAAATTGTTTCACTTTATGCATAAGATCCGATGAAAGTAAGATGTATATGAGCACATATTTTCTCATTGAGAACAATAGAAAAGATTTTTGTCAAGTATATATACTTGACAAAAATCTTTTCCGTTGTTCTTGTTTCCATTTCAGCTATAGCTGAAATAGAAAATCACAGTGAAAGTAGTACAGTGGAAATCTACTGATTGAATTGATAACTTTTGGCAGCTGTCAACAGAGGCAGAGTCAAAGTCTGCATCCAGGCGGACATTAGATGAAAATATAAAAACTGACTTATGAACGGTTTAAACAGTGCAACATATACTTTAAACTATGGGCTATTTAATGGTGTTAGAAGTTTTGTTACGAAGTTCAACTGTAGTGGAAAATCAACTAGTTAAAAATTAGCCTGAAAATAGCATGATGATCAGAAAAATTAATTTTGTACAAAAATGAATAGTATAGTAAGCAAATGTTTTGTTAATACTGAATCTCCGCATCATTTAGTATATATTAGTAAAACAGCTTTCAGTTTGAGCTAAAGAATATTGGGAAAAAAAATAAAACTTTTCGTAAGTGATTTTCCAAACGGCTAAGTTTAGTAAAATGAGAGCCCCCTTCACATCCCTCTTTGGACCTGAACCAAACTTTGCCCGAATGTTCCCTATATGAAAGTTATCATCACAGTTAGCACAAATAATCATGGGCTTAGATATCGGCTTTCCAAAAAACCCTTGGTTTTCCAGGTATTTTCTATTTATCTCGGCCCGGCAATGTTTTTATTCAATAAAAGTGACATATTCAGAATCAGCGCAATAAACTGCATCTAGTGGTGTGCGATTCGTAGGTTTTTCTGAGCAAAACTTGTTGGATCTAACGAAACGCTAAAGTCGAAGCATAGAGTCACAATTTTGGTTGAGAATTTTGATATTTGCTATAGAAGCAATCCGAAAGCCTACAAACACTTTTTCATAAGTTTTCAGACATGCTCTTTCCAATGGTAGGCTTTATAAAGTTCCAGAATACTTATGTGTAGGTTTTCTAGAGACCCGGTCTCTGGAGAACCCATATGAAATCTTTTTGAACTTTGTAAAGCAAACAATTGGAAAGAGCATATCTGAAAACCTATGAAAGAGTGTTTATAGACTTTCAGAGTCCTTCTATAGCAAATGTCCGCCTGGCCTATGAAAAAATGCACACTGTGAGAGTCTGTCGACATCGCAAGTTGTGCGCAGCACAATTGCTCTCTAGTTGTATTTTGTCTATGCGAGGCGTATTAACTAGGAAATATTTTCAGGTAGACAGCACATTATGTAAAAATTCTGGAAGAGAATCATAATGGCTTTACAAGAATAGATAATTAATTCTCATAAAAATCTTATTACTTCCATGGAAAATCTTATCTAAGAATTCAACAAGAATCTTATATAACTCTTTGGACAATGATTAGTGGCTACCCACAAGTTTCTTACAATATCCTTAACCAATTCGTAAATAAGAATTAATCTCTAAGACCTCGAAAAATGATGCAAAATTTCTTATTGCTCAAGTCAACGCAAAAAAAACTATTCACAACTCTTTTATTCTATCTCAGGTGCTGTTGAAGTAAGAGAATTCATTCATACCGTCGCCTTTGAGGGTTATTTTTTTGGTCGTAATCATGTACTCGGAACATTTCAAATATTATTTATTGTCATGTATTTATATTTTGCATTCTATTATGTTGGTAAAGTAGCCGACGATCGTTTGTGGTTTTTATGGAATCAATATTGGAATATATATGATTTATTTTTACTAATATTATTTACTATAAATCTATTTTTTGATATTAAATTTTTAGTATTTATTGGTCGAGCAATTGATGCTCTCTCGGTACCCAATACACCCAATTTTGATGTGTACAAACGAACATTACCATTTATACGTACACAAATATCACGTATTAGTGTACAAGCCTACATGACATGTGCTATTGTTATACGTTCATTAAAATTTTTATCATCTATATCGTATTTAACAGGACATTTATTATCCGTTTTCTATCAATCGATAACAAGTTCATTTGGATTTTTATTACTCTTTTTTCTTGTTTTCATGTCATTTGTGTTTTTTGGTACATTTCATTATGGTACAGAATTGTATGAATTTCATACGTTTGCATTGACATCATATACGCTAATTCGATGCGCATTGGGTCAATTTGATTATGATCGAGCGTACCGTGTGTCACCGACATGGACACCAGTAAGTAGATACTTCGAACAAGTTAATGATAAAAAAAAGATATTTTTATGTAGTTTAATCAATATATTTAGATCTATTACATGTTGTACGTATGTATCATATTTTTTATCCTTTTAAATTTATTTATCGCCATTATCAATGAAACGTATGTCATTAGTAAAAATTCTGAATTACAAGCAAAAGAAATTGAATTACAAGATGAACTTGAACAATATGGTGCCAACGAACAACGACAAAAACGTCCAAAACGCCCTATATTACAAGATCGATTTATCAGACAAATCAATCGGTTATTAAGATTGTTTGATATTGATAAACAATTTGATGTTAATGATGAAAATTTATTAATAGGAAAAAAAGATCAAACAAACACAGAAAAAGATGATGAGGATGATGATGATAAACAAATGATGGGAAAAATGGACATCACTGTTAAACACGCTATATTAGCTGAACAATTAAAAACGATTTTAATTAATGATGGTTATAATACGGATGTTATTGATGAATACTTTAAACGTTATAGAAACAGAGAGGATTTATCAATATTAAAAATGGATCAGAGTAAAGCGATTAAACAATTACAAGGTGAATTTAAAATTTTTAATAGACAATATGAAACATTAACAAATGATTGGAGAAAAGCGGCAATAGCAACGAGAGAAGTAATCTTGTTAAATACTGTTGAACAAGACCAAGCACAAACAATGAGAACACATTTAGATAATCTTGATAAACGATTTCAAAAATTAAAAATACTTGTACCAAAAGCATTGAGAAATGCAGTACAATTATATATTGATAGATTTGCAATTGATTAACCTGTCATTTTGTAAATGTTATTTTAATGTTCTATCATCTTGTACACTTTATTCTCCATTAATCGACAAGAATGAGAATTTTATTTATTATATCATTTATGTATTTGATTCATACAACTGATTTTACATATGCTATTAATATAAGTTTGATTACCCCAATCCTCATCAGTGTTCGGTCTCAATAGTGAAGTTATTTTCTCTTCTAATATGTGGATATCGACATAAATAAGAAAAAAAAATTTTAATTTTTCGAAAAAACGTTTCAAATAGATACGATGAGAGAGTTTTCATGAATACATGGGCGATTCGGTACTCTTAGATCTATAGTTTCAGCAGATACACTTTGTATTCGTATTATGACATCTCTGTAGCGAAAAGGGAGATATCTTTTGTTGGACATGTACATCATGTCTATATCTGATCTCTGCTCTGTCCTTTGCTTCTCTTTTTCTTCCTCTTCCTCGTCCCTTTGCATCACATGTGTGGCAATGTTTGCACACGCATGTCTTTTGCGAGAAGAGATATCTTCTTTTTTGCTAGCTGCCTAATATACAAAACAAAAGTCAGTATTTTTAAATGTGTAAAAACAGCAGAAAAACTTTTTTGGCAACACAGGGGTGGCGGGATTTTGAGATATCACGGTGATAGCAGTACATATTCATTAGGAAACTATTTCACTACAATTCTAAAGAGAAATACAAACTCCTGCAGAAAAACTTTTCAATGTGGAAATGCCACTGCTCATCAGTACCGAATAATCTTTTTGCTTTTTGTGCTGGAGAGATTCAATTGTCATCAGTTAGATCCTGTGCGTAGACCGTTACGAACCAATTAAATAGACAGGCAAGGTTAAGCTGTTACTGATATTCTAATGTTGTCGGTGGCGCCACAGCTTTAGTTTTTTTGTCTGCAAAAGAGCCGCATGTTTTGTGAGAAAAGATGAAAAATATTGGATAGAAGACATTTAGAAACCTAACTGCTGTTCTTCAACATTCCAATTTTCGGTTACTATAACAACAGATCTTTGCAGGGATGAAAATTCTATAACAAGAAAAAGACATTTCATTTAATTAACTGAGATTCATATCTTCTGTGTTTTTGCTCATAATTAAAGACACTTTTTACATTCAATGGCCCAGCTTCCCACGCTGCTCTTCTATCATAGCACTTTAAGTAGGATTTCTGATATTTTCTAGATAGCATAGAAAGACTGTTTTCTTATGAGTGGTTCAATATGATTCTCTAAAGAACAAAGGTTAATAGCTATCGTCAGGATATGAAAAACTTTTCTGGATGAAGGTGGTTCAAGAATATCCCAAAATATTCGGTACTCCAGCACGTGCTATATATAATATCTCAAATCACATCGAATGAATTTGTTGACAATTTATCGAGTTCAAATATTTTAGAATCTCAGCCTTGTCTAGTTTATAACCGAGGAGAAAGAAAGCATAGTTAAAATTTAAAACACTTTGCATTATTTCAACTGGTCTTAAATAATTTGTTGTTTCTGGTAAGTAGAGTATCTAGAACAAAAATACTAGTTCATTCAAAAGCAATATAGGATCTTTCTTAGTTACAATGATCTCAGCAAAAAATAATGGTTTTTCAACTGGCTCTTTTTCTTCTGCTTTCGATTCTGAATGATTTCGTTCGAATGTTTAGATGGTTCCAATTAACAATCCGAGGTCGAAGTAGACCACCTCTTTGTAGAATAAGAAACCACTACAGTGGTACCATACGATCTTAACATGCGCTCTATTCTCTTCCAGATATGTCATTTTTAAGAAATTCTTTCTCGATTAAGAAAACAAAACCCAGAAAACATGTTTCAAGAAATCCACAGAAATTGCAAGCAGAAGAAATGGCACGCGAGTAAGTAGGACGCAGACGTGATTGTTTTGATACACGTTCTAAGGTGTACCGTATATTCGAGATTTTTGTTTTATTTAGATTGGGAACTGTATACGGTGTAATTGATGTGAAAATTGCTGATCAAAAAATTATTTTTGATGCAGAAAATGGAGATTGGCAAACAGGTTAGTTTTCGCACACCAATACTTTCGCCAATTCCTCGTATGACGTAAAGAAGAAAATGGCAAGATGGTATCTTTTGTATGCGTACTAGCCTCGATATAAAAGTCATCTCTCTCTTTCTCACAATCAAAATTAAATTTTGATGCGACGGTTGCATTACACAAGAATTTTGTTTTAGGAGGTGCAATATCCAGTGGTCAATCTCATGCAGCACAAAAGCTGAAAAAACAAACGGAATTATTACAAGAAGAAAACAACATGTTGAAACTTAAAGTTGAAGTATTACTAGACTTGGTAGCAGAATCGGCTGCTGAAATATCTAGCACAAGAAAATAGCACGCCTACCTTTTTTTATTGTTGTTTTTTTATTATTTTTAGTGCTATTAGAGCTTGTACAATTAATTGTAATTATGTTTTGTCGTCGTTAGATTAAAGGTTTTGAAATACAGTAAAGAACAAACTGCAGTTTTTCTGTGTACTTCATAGGAGTTTTCTTCTACAAATTTTTGTAGAATATTTTTCGTATCTCTGCTGTCTTTACTAATAAAGACAGCAGAGATACGAAAAATTATCCTCAAATATATCACTTCTACAAACATACAGTGCTGTTCTATTGATATTCTTGATCTCATCTTAAGTGTTTTGAACTTTTTCTGTGGCTACAAGTTTATCTGTCACACAAGGTATACATCACAAACATGTATTATGGCTTCAAGTTTAAATAGTACTGTACAATAGATGCATGAACTACGAGGGTCATGAGTGCAAAGTAACCATCATTCTCGTCGTCAACTTGCATTCTATAAGAACTTTACCGAGATCTTTCGATAACTACAACCTTGTTTCAAAAGTGCAAAGATATTGGTTTAAAACATTTAATATGAAAATGTCGGCTGTTATTAGATATAGTGGAGTAAGAGTAATCAAAAACTGTATACATATTTATGCAACATGATTACAATATCGATACTGATTGCATGGAACAGCATTTGTTGAATGTCCGACAAAACAGAGTTTTGTACCGATGTTCAACAATATAAGAAAATAACCCAAGCAAAAAATCTTGAGCCAAGATCTTGATTAAAACTTGAAAGATTCTTCAAGTTTCTGCGTAATTACTTCAAGATCTTACGCAGATTTTTGAACATCTGTCAAGATCTTGACAATTTCTTGTAGAATCTGTGAAGAAAAAACTTGATCAAGATTTGTAACTGATTCTGAGACATTAATTAATTAGCTATTGATTAATTAGTTAAAATCTTGACAAATTTTCGATATCTACGCAAAACTTTGGTGAAATCTTGAATAATATTTTGGCTTCGTAAGATATTATTTTCAGTTATTTGTTATTTGTATCTGCCATATTCTACAATGTTAGCTCTTTAGTATTGCACTGAACCAACAGTACTGCTCTCACTGTTCAGACAATATCAGAGCTGTTCAGTCAAAGACTATGTCCATATAACGAACTTGAAAATTTCTCATTTTTTTACCGTGCAAATAGTGTTCCTTATACATACATGCAAGGGTACTGAAAAATAAAAACGGTGACAGAAAGAACCACGAGTTTTCAAGATCTTGATACAGAATTTTCAAGATACGTCACATTCGGAATCAAGTGAAAATTGATCAAGAATTTTCAAGGGGGTGTTTCATAAAAATTCTTAAGTGTTCGACTTAACTAAGTGTATACATTAAGTGTAAAAAATTAACACGGAAGTGTACAAACGGAGACTTAAGTCGGGCAGAGAATTTTTATGAAACACCCTCCAGGGGGTCGTATCACGAAAAAACTTAAGTCTCTTAAGTCACCCTTTGACTTAAGTTTTTTTGTGATACGACCCTCAGGATCTTTAAAGAACTAGATTTTGAATTTCTGTAAGACGTGGGCATAAAATGAACACGCAGAAGCCTAACAAAAAGAAAATATTTTTTTAAAAAGTAGATGATTATCCGCCCATATACACACACGCATACGCCATTCAGCGCGGTGTTGACGGATATAGAAAATGTTCCACGACTCCTCTAAGTGTTTATCATTGTTATGTGGAAGTGTTTAGAAAAGAAACGCTAAAAAGATTTTAGCAAAAAGATTCAACTTGTTGTGGGAAAAAAATGATTTCATCCACGAAACACACATATCTAAGCAGTTTTGAAGAACATATTGCTGTGAAAGTCTTATTGAAAATTAATATCTGCAATGCAGAAAGACAGCTGAGTTGTAAAAGGTTCGTGTTTGTTTAAATTACAGTAAACCATGCATGGTTTACTGCGCTACTTTCCATGGAAAGTAGCGCTATTGGAGTAGAATAATGCAATTGGCGCATTTTTAACTAATCATACACCTTTCATATTTAAATCCGGAAGCAGCATATAATAACTAGCTGCTCTTAAAAGATTTTTCTCAGATACCATATGAAATCGAATTTGGCTGCTCCTCCAATGAATAGTAGTCGTCAGTTAGGAGCACCCAGACAACAAGTGTACCACAAAATACTTACCCCCTTCCTTCAAATATCACAGTGAAAGTCTTAACATTTTACTTTCACCTCATCACTCGATTATAATCAACGAACAGTGATGTTACCGTTTTAGAATATAGCTAGACTGCACAAAAGAAATGTTACAAAAAAATGTTTAATGCCATGATTAAAACACAACATATTGTTTTGTAATGATGCGTTTTTTCTTTACTTTCTTTTCGCGCCACATTCACATTTGATTCTTCAACTTTTTGTTTTAGTGGATTCATGTGTTTTCTACTTTTGTTTCTTCTAGATCAGTAGCTTTTCAAAAACGAGATGGCAACAAATGTAGAGGAAACATATCTATATTCTTCTCCAACAACGTTTAAAGTTAGTAGTAAAGATGGTGAAATATTTGATATTGATGATAGTTTTATAAATCAATCAAAAACAATCAAAAACATGTTAAATGGTAATTGAATTGAGTAAAAAGATTTGACTGTTATTTAATTTCTATCGGATTTCAGTTCTTGATATCGCCGATAATCACATGCCTATCCCGTTGCAAAACATCAAAGGAACAATGTTAAATGCAGTATGCTTATCGTCATATAGTGAAGTAATGTATGATTAAAATTTTTCCTATGTTCTTGCAGGCAATCGTTTTCTGCAAATATCATAAAAATGATCTACTATCAATTCCTGATGATGAAGATGAAGATGATTTCGAGAGAGATGCCTATGAACCAAGACGGTATGTTCATATAAAAACAATATCTACTGCATTCATTAATCTTTTCTTTATAGTTCCGATGATATTTCGGAATGGGATAAAGAATTTATCAAACAATTTACTGTCGAAGAAGGAACATTATTCGACATCATTATGGTTTGTATGTTCTCATGGTGTCGTTTGTGTTCTAGACAGACTCATATGTTCTTAAAACAAATAGATTTTTTAATCTTTAAACTTTAGTTACCATTACTAGGAGTGTTGTGTATAACCTTTTCGCTAATCAAGCATTCGAGCAATCAATTTTCTCAAGATGCGATTGTTTCTGTTTGACCTACACCTATTTTTACCAAGTGAAATGTTTTTTTTTATTTAGGCTGCAAACTATCTCGATATCAAAGCTTTGTTAGCAGTCGGTTGTAAAACAATTGCCAATATGGTACGTGGTAAAAATTCTGATCAAGTTCGTCAAATGTTTAATATTAGTTATGATCCACCTGGTGAAGGTTTAAATACACCACGAAATTCGGTCACCTCAAAAGAAAGCGGTGATAATCAATTACTAACAACTCAAGAAAAAGAAAGTCGCTGTAAAACACCGTCACCAGAACTTATGTATGATTAGAAATTTTTTAGGGAAAAAACATTTTCCTTGTACAAAACTACCTTTCATGTTTATATATTAGTAAAAACTCCTTTTATGTTGTTTTAGTTTTATTTTTCTAATTTTCAACATATGTATATGTTAAATTGTTGTTTTTTAAATTAGATATACTTTGTTTTTTTTCTCTCTTTCTCTATTTAGTTGTCGTTATTGATTGACTTGCAGAGAAAGAAAATCTTAGTTTATTTTTATAAAGAGTTAAATAAGCGGTAAATAAAAATGGAAGAGTTCGGTCAGTACTATCTTGCTCATTTGAGTTAGCAGCGGAAACATCAATCAAAATTTATCATCATTAATCACTGTTGAAATTATAAAGCGAACTATGATATTTCAGTTTTGGAGCCTGTATTAACGTCATAATACAACAATTGAAAAACTAGACTTTTATCACATTTATAACTATTTTAAATACGTATTTTTTCAATATGTGCTTTGCTCACTGTGTTGTAAAACAATTGAGTGCTATACACGGCATAATGGACAATTCTATTTTAATGAGAGGAAAACAACGACGAAAACATTTAAATTTAGATTTTTTTTTGAAACTTATACCAAAACTCACCTGATTTCTTGATATCGAGACATGCTAAATTTTTTGCGTTATACATTTTTCGATGCAGTTTGACGAGTTGATTTTGAATATATACTTGGTTATGTGAAAAACTGTCGGATTTTCAGTATCCTATATTTTGATTTAGAGGCAGAAGTACATAAAGCCGCATGAACTGAAAATATATTAAATGTAGAAACATAGATTAAGCATGTTTGGAGGCTGGAAAATACTGGGAAACTTTTTTGAAATGAACCTATATATTTATATTTCATGAAAAATAACAGTAAGAAAAAGTTTTTTTTAGATTGCCTGCACAAAATCTAGGAGCTATTAGATAGATGATGTAACAGTTGTTTTTGACGGAAGGTAGCATTTGACAAAGAAATAAATGTCTATAACAGTGGGCAATTTTGACCAAGTGGACATATGCTACAGAAGCAGTGCGAAAGCCTACAAACATTGTCTTCATAGGTTTCTAGATATACAGAAAACGTACAAATTACACATCATTCGATGCAATTTTGTGCGATGATTTCAAATATATCATTATTTTTTAATAAAAGTGTTTCTGGACAGAGAAACATAGATTTTACGTCAAAAATCAAGGATTTTTGGAAAACTGATTTCTAAGTCCAGGTGAAAAGCTGCATTCACCGTAGATATAGCATATGTTGCTTGGAAAAAGACTTTGTTTTGCTGATGACCTTGCTCTAAATTGAAAAATACTTTTTACTAATAGATAGCTAGAAGTATCTAGATTCTGAATATATACTTTTTATAAGTTTAAATCAGTTTAATCCAATAAAAAAAAATGTTTTTTTCTGGACAACGCTGGTATTTAGACGATTTTTGCGTATATTTTTGTTTCTTAAATTGAGCACTTGGAATCAAAAAATTTAGATCATTGAATAGCTCAAAAATCAAAGTATATTTGACACTATTTGAATGTTCAAAAAGCGTACTTTTGATTTTCTATATTCAAATGTCTACTTGATTGCCCACTGTGTCTAATAAATAGATGAAAGAACTAAGAAGTTTCCTGATATTGATTGTTCATATGGTAAATTGAGTAGATTCAGTCCTTTTGTGCACTACACATGCACCGTGTTTGTTAAAATGAATTGTTGTAACATGTTGTAATTAGGAGTTTCTATACACACTCCCATTCCATCGTACATACAATTCATCATAGTTCACATTATCGACATGTTCTTTGGATTAATGCTTGAATAGTGTATGATATTCACATAACTTATATTAACACTTTGTAAAGTTTCTCAATAAAGTGTCGTAGATAACTGTATTATCAGCCAAATATTATAAATAATATAAATGAAAATAATCTCTTGATAAAATTCTTTTTAATTATGATAATAATCATGCGAAAAAAATGGTATGTCAATGGCATTTGTGCAAGGAATTCTTATTTGCTGTTTAAAAAATATTTATCTCAAAGATCTTCTAAATGAAGAAAGAAAAACTTGATTTTACAAAAAAATGAAGAGAAAAATAAAAAAGTTGAATCGTATCACCTCTGTTTCATTATGCATCGAACAAAAAAAATATATTGTTTCACGATAGAACATAATCGAGAAAAATTAGAGATATCTGGTATTAATGACAAAAAAAGATACAAATCTATTTTAATTTAGATAGGTCACTCTGATCAATTCAATAAAGTCGACGTAGCTTTTCAGAAAACAAAAGGTTGTCTAGACTTGAGGAATATTTCATTCTAAAGAGGATATCTTTGCTTTTTTACAAGAGATATTTGTTTTTCAAAAATTCGACTGTATTCTGAAAAACCCTCGCCAACTAAAACCAAAACTTTTCAGTGGTTTCCGAAGAATTTCTAAAACAAACTAGTAAAAATGTTGTATAATGCCAAATACAGAAGATTAACACGTAGGCCTATCAAATAAACATTCAAAAAATTTTGGATTTAACCTAAACCGCTGGTGAGCCATAGAGATACCCTTAACTATGGACTTTAACATTTAGTGCTAAATATAGACTCAGAAAGTGATTTATGGCTGTTATTGTTGTAGCCGTAATGGTTATTATGTTAGACCGATAGAAAAAGTAGTAGAAGAAAAGATGAACACAGGAACATATTTTATGATCGTGGTTTCTTTCGGAAACATGATACGTCTAAAGATCACAGATAAAAGATAATCATCATAAAACAAAAAAATTCTGATATTCGAATAAAATATTAGCAAAAACGCGATCAAAGAAAATTTCTAATAATTTTCACATTGGGCCGAATTCTCATCCGTCAATTGACAAATTCTTGCAGTATAAACATGTTTTGTCTTCGTGTTGATCCATTTTCAGACAATAATTAAGGTATTAATATCACTCAAATTACTCCACAAAGATGACGTTTGACACTTGAATGATTGTTATTATTATTTGTCAGTTGAATATCAGCATAAATCAACTCTTTTGTATCTCGATAATATTTAACAATAAATTTTCGCATCCATAATTGTTGAATTATTTCGGATGTAACAAAATCAGAACTATTTTCAGATATTATTATCAATATGAAGACACCATCAGCTTTTAGATAATCATCAACAAATGCTTTCATTTGATCATTTGTTGTTGCTTCAAAGACTGCTGCATATTTTTTAGATTTAAGATGTTTAAAAATAAAATGGCGTCGATTTGAAGGATGAATCGTGTATATCCATAGAAAAAAATCATACATATTCAATTGGATAATTAGTGCATACCAAAAATATAAAAATGTAAACATTTGCTGATTAAATAAATTTAATGGTAGAACACATGGAACTGTGTACTCATGAGCAAGTTTTGGATGACCAAATTCACGAATAGTAAAATCACACATTGTTGTCTTCGGAAACAAACGTGATTCCGAATCCCAGTTAATACCTAAAACAGAAATCAACAATAAAAATGATATTAACTATTGGTAAATAAGATTAGTACCTCGAAATAGTCTGTCAAGTACTTCTATACCAAAAAATAAAAAATTTGATCCTAACATTGTACTAAGAATGAATATTTGAAATAGAGATATAAAAATATACATTAATTTCGTGGTTATGTAGAGCACAACAAGATAATTTCCCAAGTATCGACCAGTGGTACAACAAATAGTGGAAAAGAATCGAGTAAACATGTTTATATTATCATGTGAATGCTTTTGACGTCTATGATCGTCGACATATTCATCGATGGTATCTACCATATAATCGAGACACATTTTACGATGTACAGCGTTTGTTGTAGGTAATTTATAGTCAAAAGCAGATTCGATCAAATCCGCTATTTGAATACCCATACGAAAACGCCATGATATGCGTGGTAAATAGAATAGAAACGCTTTGACTAAGAGTAAAAATGGAATCCATTGATAGTACAATATTTCATTTTGACGTTTGACTTCAAGTGATTTAGGAACTTTTTCGGTAGGTTTAATATAATACGTATTTTGTACAAAACATACACTTCTGACATATTCTTCATAATTTGGAGTAAAATATGCCGGAACCCAGCATTTAATTTGATCAACATACATTCGATTCATATTTATAATGGCAAAAACTACAAGTATTCCAACTGTATAACGATAGTTAAGTCGATCTGCTAAACCATCATCGTTTCGTTTTCCCGACATGACAGTCGAGGCACGTGCTGCCAAACTCGATATATCCATTTCTTTTTTCTCTAGAAAGAGCGAAAGATGCACTTGTTTTTAATAAAGTAAACCACATTTTTGGTACATCTTTCTTCCGTTTAGAGATTTACCTTTTTTCACTGTCTCTCAAAATCAAAATACTTTGCTCACCAGTTTTTGCATTACCTAAAACTGAAAATAACAGGCGATGTGCAATCACATCTACTACTATCTGTTTGCATTCTCTATATAAAAATCTAATGTAGACGATTGAGTTATAGTTTTACAATAGGTTCGTTTATTTTGTGCGATTAACGTCTATAATTCTTCTTTTTCTCTCTTCAGGCTCTCGAAAAAATATTGGCCCACATCTATATCTGTTCTTCATGGCATTCAATTAATCGTCGTTCCATTCCAAGACTAAGAATCCAACTTTTGATCTCTCAGTAGAGTCTCACACATACGCACATACATAATACATCGCCAGCTGACAATTTCCTCTTCTCTTATAAAAAAATTCTGATCTACTAGAATAGAGTGGTAATTTACTTGTTCCTCGTTCTATTCACATCTATTCTGTCGCTTAAAGTAATATATTATTAAACGACGATAGACAGAAGAACAAGCAAATGATTCTGTTCGTTCTAACAGAAAAAACGTAGAAAATGTAACAGAAACTACATAGGTCAATCATTTGTGAATATTTCTTAGAGATGTGAAATGACTAACTCGAAAAGAAATATAGAAAGATTATAGCTGCGGTTAGTGATGAGGATGTGGTACATGGTTGCTATATTCCTTTTCGGAACAGTCATGTCACACACCATTCACTTGAAAACTAGAAAGAAAAATCAACAACAGAAGCGTTCGCATCTTGATGCAATTTCCACTACTTCCTAGGCCCCAAAACAGTTTTTTCAGTTTTGGTCCTTTTGTAATATAATAAAACAGAAGACAACCATTTTGTAGTTCGAGAAACAAAGTTATTCTGAGCACGAGGACATACATGAAAGTGGAATAAAATATATGTTCTGATGTTCCTGAGCGTTGTCTTTCTTTTCGTATATCATAGGTTCCTTTTAAACGTGTTTTTCTTGAATAAAAAGCGATTTTACCAAAACTCATCCTAAACAAGAGAAAAAAAAATCTCTCTCTCAACCTCTTGTGATTATGAGAATTTTAAATATAGCAGGTTGGTAGAGCTTTTCAATGGCTACAAAATGGTTGAAAAAAATGTACAAAAAAAATATGCTTTTTGTAGAGAATTAAATGACGCATCTTCTAAAAAAGAAATTAAAATTTTCTTCCTTATTTCTCAACTGAGATATATACAAAATAAAGAATGTTTCAATCATTCTGGCGCACCCGGTACTTTCAAGGATAGTCACAAAAAGCACAAGGAATGGCTGACAGATGAGATATTAGATCAGAGTTGGAAGCAGCACCCTAACCGGTTAACCGGGCGATTTTTACCGTATTAACTTCTTCAGACTTTAAATGGTATATTACTCTAAATAAAACAGTGTCTTCTTGTGAGAATTGTTTTCTTTTGTTCTGTTTGGTTTCATTCCTTTAAGTAGGTGTGTTTCCACTCTTGGTGGAATGAAAACAAATAGTAGCATGTTCTTTTGTTACTATATATTTAGATTATCTATTCTAACGGAAATTCTCTGTTACAAAAAAAGCAACATAGTGGCTACGTTAGAAAAAAATAGATTTGAAATCTAAACTAGCCGGTTTTTCACCGATTGGAAAGTTTTTTTAACCGGCCGATCCGATCCGGTTAGAAAATTCTTAACCAGTTCCAACTCTGCATTATATATTATTAACAAAAAACCACAAACTTATCTTGGATGTCAATATCAGCGCGATACTCTTTTAGAACAGAAATATCAGGGCAAATATCGAATTTTGAGAAAACTGGTTAAAACGGAGAGTAATGCTCATCAAACTAAATATTGAGACGAAATAAGCGAAGAGATTGAAAATGGCATCAGACAACATGATCCCGCGACGGCGTATGCAATGATACAGAAACTCCGTGGTGAAACTACAAACGTGGAGAATATTTCTATCCAGAATAAAGGAGGCGACCTTCTTATAAATTCGTGCGACAGACTGCTTCAAGGGTATATTTTTGTGGATTATTGAATGTATGCAATATCGTTGATCCAGTGACTTTATAACTAAAGCAGAAGAAGAGATGCAAAATAAACCATCGTCTCTAGCGAAGATTAGGGAAGCTATCAAGCAGATGAGAAGTCATAAGCCACCCGGAAAGGACGATGTAACGGTGGATTTGTTGAAAGCTGAAAATATACCAGTACCCACGTCGACGAAATCGCGGTATTTTTAACAATTAATCGCGATTCTTGAAAAATCGCAGATTAATTGTGATTGATTGTTGATTTTAAGCGATTAAATGGTTATTGTTATTTATCATTTTATTTTGCAGTGACGCATGTATATAAGAAACCCGATTTCAACGAGAAATACACTTCTGTTTAGATCATCTTTTTATTTTAGAGTAAAACGGAGTTGTCAAGTCTTCTCTATGATTCCTCAGACCTTTAAGTCGAGGAGCCCAGTGAACAGCTGGTATCTGGGCAATGTCTAAAATCGACTCGTCGGAAGGGCTCCGACTTCAGCTGGTACTAAGACCCTTGCTGGGTGACGTACATGTCATTATACATAATAAACAATGAAAAAACAGAAAAAATATGTATTTCCTAAGATGGGTTCGAAGTTATTACCAAGAAAAAAATCATCAGTTAATCGCGATTAAGCGCACGATTAATCGTATGATTTTTCACGATTAACTGCCGATTTTTATGCGATTTTTAGCACATGGATAACTACATGGTTACATTAAATTATAGTCGATGTTTCGCAAAATGAAGAAGTGGTGGAGTATTGAACTTATTGATGCTTTTGTATCAGAATAAAACAGATAAGAGAATATGTGTGATATTTATCAGGCATATCATAGCTCATACACTGCGAAAAAAAAGTGTCCTTTGGCGAGGTTAGTGCACTTTCGTGTGTTCTGAGTGCGCCACAGTCAACGTGGCAACAAAAAGCAGGGCACTTCCATGTGCCCTAAACCTCACAAAAGGGCACTTTTTTTTCACAGTGTAGTGACTAGTAAAATCTTTTCAAGTATTATTCTGAATCGTATTCAAAACCTACTTAATAAACAACTTTTAAAACAACAAGTAGATTTTAGATCAATAGACCAACTAGCGATCAGATATTTACACTTAAAACAGTAATAGAAAAATCTCAAGAGTATACCCTAGTGAATGTACTTAACGTAAGTACTTGCCTAAGTAATGTCCATAGTACTTGCAATTTTCTGCAAGTATCCAAGTACTTGGCCTCAAGTACAGTTACTAGGGTAGTAAGCCGTTATTATGTGTTTTATCAATATTCAGAAAGCCTTTGATTCTGCTAACAGAGAACTGTTGTGGAAGATCTGCCGATACTTTATAAAAACCAATTCGGACGGTATCTATCTTCAACTTACTCTCTGCAAAATTCAAGTAATAATAGTATAGCACAAGTAAGAAACAAAGTAAACCAAAAGTTTCCGGTTAATTCCACATAAGTATAACCAGTTTTAAATGTTTTCCAAATAATTGTACAATGCAAAATGAAATAGCAAATGAACAGTAATTATGCTCCAGAATACAAAATGATATAAACCGGTCCAATAGACATTTCAAATGCATTCTAAAACGAAGGTGTACATTAATAATTAAAACAGTTCCATATACTTCAGCATTATACTAAGAATGAATATTTGAAATAGAGATATAAAAATATACATTAATTTCGTGGTTATGTAGAGCACAACAAGATAATTTCCCAAGTATCGACCAGTGGTACAACAAATAGTGGAAAAGAATCGAGTAAACATGTTTATATTATCATGTGAATGCTTTTGACGTCTATGATCGTCGACATATTCATCGATGGTGTCTCGGCTTCTTCACGTAACGCGACACTACGCTGATCAATTTTCTTTTTTTTTCATCGGAAAATCGATAGGAGCCCCCCATCACCAGACGTAGTTTTTCATGCTGATCACGAATTCGGCCTTTATTTTGAAAAAAAACTGAATTTCAATTAAAAAATTTAAATTTAAATTTATATTAAGTTTTTTTATTTCGCCCAAAATGGTGTGGCAAAAAAATGTGTAACAGCGTTACGTTTGTTTTTTGCTTGCATTTTTACGCGATTAAAAATAGTTAGAAGAAAATTTTTTTTACCGCTGAAAAGCTTGTTCGTTGCTCTCCAAAATTTGCTCTAGGGGCAGTTCATTTGGAGAACGACTTTCACAGGAAGTTAGAACTTTAGCAAGAGCACTCCGAATTTAGGATCTTTTTATGCAACAGCGTTAGGCGATGAATAAACCTTTTTCTCGAAGCTCCAGGCCTCAACTAAAAAACTTCGTCTTTATAGCATACATAGAGTATGATGAGCTGCGTCGAATGGCGTTTGAATGAACGAACGTTCTAGCTCTCAAACTTTCCGCGATAATTGTCACAGTAAACTAAAAAAGAGAAATAAACCACACTCAAGAAAAAAGAACCTAAAAGATTATCGGACTCGAAATGGACTCGGGACCCAAACTCGGCTTGATTTTTTAAGGTCTCGAAGTGGACTCGGACTCGCCCATGCCTGGTACCATATAAAAATTTTGAATCAAAAATTTGTGAAATTATCGATAGACAACATGAAATGAAAAATCCCGAATGTATTGAGCTACTATTTCAAGAGATTGACCAAGAAATTGATTGCCAAGTACCCAACAAAAGTCATGCTAAACGATTGCAATCGTTAATCCTCCGATTAAAAGTTATTGTTATGTCATTATCAAATGAGGTAGACACCTTGAAACAACAATTAACAGCAACTGAACAAGGATTAAAAATACTACAGCATACATGTTTGAACCAAGGATAAACTAAAATTCACAAAACAATAAATGCCTATAAGAGAGAAATACAGAGAGGTATATTTGAGGATCTGATGCATTTCGTATATAAAATTGCATACATATCACCGACAAACAATTAAAGTTCATTTAGAGTTTAAAAAAGTGCTTTTTCGTATTCAGCACACTTGATAACCTCGAAAATTTTCTATTTTTAGCAAGGAATACCGCCAAAAAGTTAAGAAAAATTTTCAAAATTGTATAATTTTACCATGGGGATTTTTTGGCGTTAATTTGTCTGAAAATTTTTCTTAACTTTTTGACGGTATCCCTTGCTAAAAATAGAAAATTTTCGAGGTTATCAAGTGTGCTGAATACGAAAAAGCGCTTTTCTTTAACTCTAAACAAACTTTAATATTTTTTTACCGGTGATATGATTGTCTATTTTCTTCCTTATTTTCAGAAGGAAAACACACTACGAAAAAAAAGTGCTCTTTGGTGAGGTTTAGGGCACATGTAAGCAGAGCTGGAACCAGTTGAGAAATAGTGAACGATGAAATTATAACTCAAACCGGCGAAAACCTGGTGAAGTTTTTTGAAAACCGATTTTCAGAAAGAATTTCTCCCAGAAATGAAATAGTTTGCGAGCACATATGAGAGAACCTTCACAATAACGAGTCTATAACATTTAACTAATTTAATTTAATTTAAAACAAGTGATGAAAATAATATCTGTCATGAGCATTGTCTTATTTATTCTGACTGAAAAAGACATGAAATTTTAGTTTTTTGACGAAAAAACAAGCTAAAAAGGGCAGATGTTTTAAAAGTTTTAACCGGTGAAATACCGATCTCTACCGATCCAGTTAACTTTTTCGTCCGGTCCTGTCCGACCGGACCGGTCTAACTCTGTATGGAAGTGTCCTGCTTTTTGTTGTCATGTTGACTGTGGCGCACTTAGGGCACACGAAAGTGCACTAAATCTCACCAAAGGGCACTTTTTTCTCGAAGTGCATCAAAAGATTTAGAAACAAAGATCAAGAAATACCAAGATCAATTTCCTCACATCGATTTAATTACGTTTAAAAAATTAACAAATTCAAGAAATACAGAAGCTCATGTAAACATAAGTTCAGCAGAAAAACAGTCAGAATTATTGGCAGAAATGAGTGTGCATTTCCATTTCCACATGAATTTGAATATGCTGATTTAGTTAAACAAATGAGAAAAGAATTAAGTGGTGTTCAGTTAATACGATATCTCGGCTTTTACAAAAAAAACAACGTTAATTAAAAAAGATTGTTCTTTTTTTTGTTTCTTCTGTTGTTTTCTGTTTTTACTTTTTTTCCATTTGTGAATAAAATATAAAGTTGCTTTTTTTCATTTGAATATTCATATTATATTTAAGTTTATGTTTGTTTATGGGTTTTGGAATTGTAATATTAGTGTCTTATCATAAGGGCAGCTTTTATTATTTAGTTGTTTTATTACGACTTGGAAGAACAAGCAAACTTATCGACTTTTATTGCTTGACTAGAGTCAAGACAACAATTTGGTCATCAATGTCCATAAATATTTTCATGATGATTAGCTTTCGATTTAGAAACGGCCTTTTTATGTTGCTTTATCATGTCGTTTATTAAATAATGATACCGGTATTACAGTACTAGAAGATGAGAACGAAATCATTTGGCTCAAAAACTAGAACAAGTTCGAAATGAAACGATGGATAAAACTGAACAGTTATCTCGTAAGAGCGAAAAAAGCGTTTAGATTGGAAAGATTGGGGTATTGATATGATGAAATGTGATGAATAGCGAAAAAATACAAATGAAAAGAATCGGAATCAACAAAATAAAAATAAAAATAAAGCCAAAAATAATGCAGGTCATCGAGGTAATTGATAGACAATCTTGAATCAAGGTAGTAATACTCGAGACGAATTTGATGGTTTCGGTCTATTGGTTACGGGACAAGCGCTAATACACGCATTGAATGAAAAATTAAAAATGAATTACTTGAATTGGGTACAACGTGTAAAGCTGTGGATTGTTATCGACTAACACCGTTGCAAAAAGCATCAGTTGTTGAATTAGTTATTAAAAATGAAAAAAGCTTATCAGTGCAGATCTTGGGTCTAAAGTGCAATTCTTCCATTCAGATGTGAAGTACTAAGGTGGAACTGTATGAAAGCCATGCCTTGAGTATGTACGTTTACATTAATTAAGTTGTGTGCTTTATTTTTATCCGAAAATAAAATTTGCAGATTTCCAGCATAATCTCCCTGTACAAACTTTCACTCCTTGTCCTACCTCTTTCAGAGGAATTCAAGGGAGGAGTTACACAAAACAGCTACATTAGCCATTGATGTTTCTATGATTCAAAGTAAGTTAAAACTGCGCATCATTCGCTTCCTGCCCGATCTCTCTCTCTCTCTCTTTCTCTCTCTCTCTCTCATTCTTTTAAAAAATAGAAACTGTTGACTAGTAGGATTAAGTACATAAATTCAAAAAGAATTGCAACAAGGTCTCGTGTTATCTTATTTTTCCTATAAAATTCGAATTTTTGAATTTAGTTATTTGAAACGTTTATTACTTATACATGGACGTTGGTCATATCTTCGTAGAAGCAAATTTTTACAATATTTTTTGCATTCACACTATGTCATTTTTGGTTTGCCTTTTTCTCGAGATTTTCTGCTCAGGTAATAGAATTAACAGGTCAACCGTATTTAGAGAACAATATGAGAAGAAACAAATTGAGTTGATTTGAACATGTTTACAAAATGGAAAATGATAACAAAGGACCTGTATTAGTCAAGGTTATGTTCTCTCATTTTCATGATTCTGAGCGAAAGGCCGGTATACGGAAATAGTGAGAGGATAGGATCACCTAGAGAACATAGAGAAATCTCATTGCAGAAACTGGAGAAGCGATACGTTGAATATGGATAAATGGAGTGAATTGATCAATAAAACTGTGCAAATGAAACCTGTACGTTCGACTGTCAAAACTATAGTACGAGATTACAAAGAACGCGCAGAAAAAAGAAGAGCGGATGAACTAGTAAAAAATAGAGCTGCAGCTTTAGTCACACCTCTTCTCCAAATAGCAGAAATACTTGCTAGGAATCAGAAAAATGAATACACATGTCCAAAATGTAGTATATCTTTCAATCATCGCATGAGATTTAGTAGACACCGCGAGAAGATATTCTGAGGATATGTCTTAACATTAATGCTCTATGACGAATAAACTGGAAACAAACCGACACATCATGAATTATAAACTTTTCTTTCTATTGTCGTCAAATCCACTGCAGAACCTATATCATATACTTGTATCTATGTATTTATTTAGATCGAATGTGATAAAATAGTGGTTTTCTTCCATTACGCACGAAAATCACGGTTTGAAAAAGACTCTGTGCCTTAAATATTTCGTTACTTTATCGTTAAGCTGTAGTATCGCTATTTTCTTCTAGAATCTATCGCTATTTTTGATGATGTAGGACTCTTTTGAGTTTTGATCATGTGTGACCAATACTACACTGTTAGGAGCGAGCAAGATTCCAGAGGAACATATAATATAAATCTTCTTTTGGAATTATCCAGTTTTTCGTCTCATTTTTTGATCAACATCATATATGATTGAATATTTTTGTATGCATGCAATCCACAAATCATCGTGCTCGATTCCATATGACTAAAAAAACGTCGGGTAGTTTATCGTTAAAAAAATATCTCACCATGGATACTGAAAGAAAAAATAATAATCCCAAAAAAATATGGTATCTAAAATACTAATAAAAAATTATCACTGTTTCACTAAGCTACATCATAAAATTGAGATAAAAAATATTGTCCGTAAAAAAAACGACCACAATAGACATACACACACACACACACACACATACACATACTGTTTCATTTTACGGTTCTTCCATTTAAGCATGTAAAACGTCTCGTTCAAGTACGATTAATCGATCCTTTTCTTGTCTATCAATATAATGAAAATCTGCCGGTGTATCCCAATATGTATCATCATCATAATAAGTTAACACATCTTTCTTATTAAATATTGGTAAACGTAAAATAAATCCTGTAATTAATCCACCACCAATTGCAATCAATAAAGTGACACCGAGTGTGGCTGCTTGATATCCCACTTGCTGTAACGGTGTACGACTAACTCCATGAAAACAGGAACGTGCTAAATTATCGTTATAGAGAGAATAATTCGGCATCGATGCAAGAATAATTCCGACAACTGCTGCTAATATACCGGGCATACCATGCAGATTATTAACCTAAATATATAAATAAAGTTTAATTTATTGTTTAACTAACATCACATAAACATACGCCACAGGTGTCGTGTATTTTTAATTTTTTTAATATGGGTAATATTATCTTGAAACCAACAGTCGATAAACTGCCAGCTAATGATCCAACTAATAACGCACCTGCCGGACGAATAATTTTATCAGCAACTGTTCCAACAGCTACAAAAAACGAAAACGGCTTATTATGAATCAAGTCATTACCATTGGATATACAACGTACCAACACCACCAGCTAACGTCGCATTTTGAATATGTACCATTTCAAATTTCCCCTTTCCCAATACTGATGACAATATGTACGTTAATAATACACTAGCTGATATACTAATATACGTGTTGACAACTGCACGTAATCTCGCATCACCGGCCGCCGCGACTCCAGCATTAAAACTTGGCCAAAAACAAAATAAAAACAATGTACCAACCATTGAAAATAAATCCGAATGATAAACTGGTTTTTCTTTTTCTTCAACGTGTGTATTAGTTGTTAATGCTCGATCATACAACATAATACTAACAGCTATACCAAAATATGCACCTAAAAAATCACAAATAAACAATATGATTTTAATTTCAATATTAATATATTAGAAAATAGTACATACCGAATACATGAACAAACATCGATTCACCAATATCAAATGCACAAAATCGTCTTAAACCAATCCATTCATTTACACTTTGTAAAACAACCTCAATTAGACACATTATAATTAATTGTGTTGGAGTTGTTTTTCCTAATAGAGCACCAAATGATATTAAAATAGCAGCAGCAACAAAATCTGCCACAATTATTCGTTCAACATCAATTGGAAATTTTTTTGTGTCAAAATCAAAATCAAACATATAACCGCGAATGAGCAATGCCCATTCAAGAACAAATGCAGCAATTAAAAAATTATAGCCAACAGCACTATAGCTAAAATAATCCAATAAAAACATTTAAAAAATTAATTTCAAATATATAATAGAATTACTTACCCATAACGTTTCAAAAAAGTCATCAAGAAACCGAAACCGATAAATATCATTATATGAATATCTTGAAACATTGAATATAAATCATTGATACCACGATGTGGTTCAGAAATGACGATAATATTTGGATCAAAAGTTCCATTTGGATATTGAACTGATCCTCGATGTCTCGATGCTATTATCAGAGTATTTACTTTAGAAAATAGTTCATGTTCGGTTAACGTTTTGGGTTCATGACCATAATCCGAATGCAAAGCAAATAAAATAATGAATATTACTTGTAATAGAAGTAATATAATTGGAAATGTAAGTTTCGGAGCATTTGCACTCGCTGTTGTTGTCCTTGTCGTTGTCGTTGTAACTATGTGACCTGGTGGAGCAACATTTGTGGCCACTGCCGTATACTCTGTAACACTAAAATAATTGCAAAAATGTTTATAAATTGAACGATAGAGTTAAGTAAAACTAGAATGAAAAACGACATGTGAATAGATGTGTGAATGTACAAAATTACTGCTCTACTTTTGATCTTAAGTGCAGTATTAAACACAAAAGAAGCGGATAACAAAGAAGAACTTTACACTCGTAACAGTAGTCACACAACACATATTAGATGATTAACTAGGTGTTAACTAGATATTCTAAAAGCTTTTATACCAATACGTTTTATAACGATTTCTGCTTCAGAGCAGTACGTAAAAGTCAAAAAATGAACTAAATAGATAAGTCATCATACATAATCGAAAAAAAAGAGTAGTAGTAAAACAACTTACGGTGCTGCACTCATGATTAATGTTTGTATTTCCCTGAGTTAATAAAATTGATAAGTTTTTATAGATGAAAATTTTTCTAAAAATATAATATAGATAAGAGAAGGCACAGTAGAAGCATATTAGAGAGAATTAAAAAATTAAAATAATAAAAGTAAAATCAAACTATATACTCAGATCTATCAATTGATAAGTAATCACAGCACACACAAAAAAAAATATCAGACAAAATTGCTAATCATTCTCAAAAAAGTGATAATTATTCGCACACTTTGAAACAAAAACATCAGTAACAAGATTGTAAAATAATCGATTATTAAGAGAGAAAAAGAGAGAAAAATAACTATACAAAAGTAAAGAATCTCAGATCTGAGAAGGTATAAGAAGTACTGATCAAAATATCGTGAGATTGCTGAGATACAAGACGCATACATAATGTCTAAGTTCATTCCTGTAATGATCGTCGTTTTAGCGAATTTGAATCAAATGTAATTAATTTTGGACTTGGTTGTTGAATAGAACGAGCAGTCGTTGTTGTGGAGTAAAGTGGATTAAATTGATTTCTAGCTAATGTTAAGGAAGTTGATTGTTGTCCATCATCATCTTCTGGTACAACTTCTAATGGACGATTGTTTGTTGTTGTTGTTGTTATTGGTTGAAAAAATGAACTTAAATTTGTAGGTTTTATTTCATTTTTTGTTAATGTTAATTCGGGTGATACAACAATTCGTGGATTATCATTTGAAATGAAACCACGTGTCAATTCTGGTGTACTATTGGACTGTGATACATCACGACAACGTGGAATTGTTAAAATTTTTGCTAATGATATACCATTTGTTGTTAAAGAGCTAGCTGGCGAAAAATCTTCTTTAGAGAATGGTTGCTGAGAGTGATAATCGCTTGCTGTTATATGACCATTTGTATGATGGTAACCTTTAGTCGCAATTGGTGAAGACGAAATTAAATCACTTGATTTCAATAAGCTTGCATGATAACGATCATTTTCAAATGCATGCTTTTGTAGTCTAAAAACAAGTAGAAAACATACAAATATTATACAAAAAAACAATAATTTATTAAAAAACTAACCTGTATCGAAATCGAGGCAAACATGAACACACCGACTCTGATTCTAAAAACAAAAAATCTCAAATGTAAATGTAAAATAAAGGAAAAGGAATCTCGTACATACCACATGGAATATTAGTAAAATAAGATTTTTTTCGTAAATAATAACGTAATAAACAAAATAAACATGTACAAAGTGAAGTCATTGTTAGTATGATAAGAATACATAATAAGGATAAAAGTAAACGATTTGAACTACTATAAAAAGATAGACGATTAAACTCTAAAACAAAAAAAGTTATTCAATTATAATTTATTATTAAAAAGAAATTCGTGATTACTTACCAATAGTTATTTTTGATTCTATTAGTGGACTATAAGCATGTTCAGAATAGGCGAGAACTTGTACAACGTAGGATGCATCATGTTTTATGTTTTTAAATAAATATGTATGTTGTGGATAATTAATAACAACTGTTTCCTGTTGTTGATTGTCAATAAGTATTAATGAACGTATTTGTACAACATAATAGATAATTTTCGGAAAAGCAGAAAATAGAGGATGATTCCATGAGACAAGAAGATTACGACCAACTACTTCTAAACGAATATTATTTGGTGGTCGAGGTCGATAAACTAAAATATATATTTAAAAAAAAATGAAGATTTTCGATGATGATAAAAAATTTTAACTGTTACATACTCGGTGCTTTATCACTGGAATTATGATATAAATAACCAACAGAATTACCTAAGAAAATAAATTATTTTAGTTCACTCCTTTTCTAGTAGCTAATAGAAAATTTTTACCAGAGTTCATTTTAACATTTAAAATTGAGCTAAATGTTCCCAAACCATATTTATTTTCACCAACAACTGCTACATTATAATCATTATTTATATTCAAATCAAATATAGTAAAATGAGATATATTATTGGGTAATACACGTATTTGTTTCCATTCATCAAGTTTTTTGTTTATTCCAGTTGAAATTTTACGATACCAAACAATAAAATGTTGAGGTAAACCACCATCATAGCCTGGCTCCCATGACAATTCAATTGATGATGAACTTGATGAATTAGCATGAAAATTTAATGGTGCTTGTGGAGTTGTATCTAGAAATGTAAAGAAATAAATAATTTTTTTATTAAAACAAAGGATAATGGACTTACGTTCAACAATGATCAATGTTGTTGCATTTGCTCTGGTGTACTCGTTTGATGCTTGACAAGTATACAATCCATAATCAAACTTTTGAATATAATTTAATGTTAAATTACTTTCATTCGTAATTTCTATAGCAGACTGTTCAGGCTAAAAATTAAAAATTATTATGTAAAAGTATAATATTAATTAAACTATTATCCTTTTCTGAAAACGAGGCGAAATACTTATCACATTTGGACGAAAAGTGATAGAGACATGCGGTTTTCACCGTTGGATAGAGAACATCGGGGGATGTAAGCATATGCAAAAACTAGGCTTCCAGGAAAGGTTTACCATGGTAAGTCTT